ATATATCAAGATTTACTAAATCCATTTTGAAATCTCTTTTGATCCTTGCAATCTGGTGGGCTCTAATCGGTGCGATTAATTTACGAATCACACCAGTTTTTTGCTCTAAATCCCATATTTTTCCCAGCTGATGGGAAATTTTATATATATTAAAAAAACTACCGACTCTATTTCAAGGCTTGAGTAAAGAAACCATTCAAATTAGGAGCAAATGAAAGACTGCTGTCGACGAATACCTGACAGGGAAAAAATAAAAACGCCCAACTAATCTTGAGAGAGTTTTACAAGTTTGAACAAGTTCTTGGGGCAAAAGCCCGACAACTTTGGCAACAAGGCAAAGACAAGCGACAAGCGATTAGGCAATAACACGAAATAAGAACCAGTGAATTTTTCAAAAGACTACAAATTTACTCACTGAATTATCCGAAATTGCACTCGAAATCAGGTGATTAGCTTTTCAAATTGCACTCAACTGGACTGAATTACCATTATGAATCGCCTGCACCATTTTATGCTCGCAATCGCATGTTTTTCAAGCTCATAACAACCAATCAGATTCAAGGCTTATTTAAAGAAAACACTCAAATTGTAGGAAAATGAAAGACAACTTTTGCAACTTTTTACAAACCAGCTCATTACTAGATCAATAAAATATTTGTACAGAGTTAAAAAGCCTGTATTTGAGCGACTGAATTCTGTTATTCCAAAATAGCTATAATAAAGTGGCAATTGAAATTCGTTTAGTGCAATTTTGGTCTGTAATAATGAACATGCAGAAATTTCAGCAAGCTCATTAGCTGAGAACATATCAATTATTCTAAAACAGTGCAGAAAGTTGAAGTTGAGATTGAGGGCAGAAAGTTGAGATTGAATTGATTGACAAGTAAGTCGCGGAAGCACACACACAAAAAAAAATGGTGGAGAGAGTGAAAGAATGAAAACACTCAACGAAGCAAAAAAAAATAGCTGAAACGAAAGTATTGAAGAGGACAAACCGAGGCCCTGAAAATAAAAATCGCGACAGTTTGTAAGAAGTAAGCGGAAGATTACGAGCGTGACAGCCTTTGTGTACTGGTTCCTGCAACTAGACGATACCTAACTGAGAAAGTAAGCAAACGCTCGATTTTTCATAACAGAAAGTTTAGGAGTTCGAAGCAACTTCTGAGAGAAACACCCCGAACACACTGGCAGCAACGTGAAGGCAAGCGGCCTAGCAGTTGCTTAGTCTCCAAGGAGCTCTTTGCCTTTAAGGACCATTACTGCTTCAAGATGTTCGAATGAATTTAAAGGCAACCTGGAAACCCATTTATTTATGACAGCTTTTTGCCAACTTCAATGGTTCCCAATTTTTTTTCTATTACCCAGAGTTTATGGTTTCAGTTTTTCACTGTAGAGATCTACAAAATGTGTTTTATGTACAAAGTAGGTAAAATATTTCTCTCATTCGTATTTTTAAGCGCTTACAAGCGTTCAATAACTGCTACATGAATTGTATATATTATTAATCAGTAAGCCATAACACGAAATAAACACGACTTAGAGGAAACAGAGTAAATTTTTTTCTTGTACATTAATAGCAAGTGATATCATGATTTTTCGTCTAGTTTGTAAATTCTCGTGTTATGCAAGAAAACTTAAACAAGGGTGGTGTTAAAGTCGAATTAATTGAATTAGGAGTACCTTCGAGGTCATTCAGTACTAGTCAATTCCTAAATTATAAGCTTTAGACAGGCAATAGGTTCAAATGATGTTATTTCAACCAATTCAAATTAGAGTAATTGTAACACTTTTTTTAAACTCTCCTGTTCATACAGACTACTTAACAACAACAACCTGGAAAAGATAGAGAAGGATTTGTTTGACGGTTTAAAAGCATTGACGCACTTGTGAGTTTAGAAAAGGAAACTTTCAATACAAAAAAAAAACGGAAAATGAGTAGTTAAAATTATTTTTAAAACAAGCGGGACCTCTGCAATGAAGGTGGAAAGTTATGTGTTTTTGAGTAAGGAGGGAAAACATGAAAACATATCGCTAAAGGTGACCATGCACTATGGTGTAGGCCTCTTCCATAATGGCGGGCGTGATTGTGATTCATTTAAGTTATGCAAATAAGCTATCCTGGCCCTACTTTAGATCAAAACTTCTATTGACAGTAAACTTTTGGCGAAGGCCAGAAAAGCTAATTTACATTTATATGTATGCTGATTGGATGAACGAGTGAGTTAAAACGCAGGGTGGTTCTTCCAAATATTAAACATTTAATGACAGCAGTTTTGCACAAACAAAACACAATAGGAAAACGAGGTTGCCAATGATAGCCTCAAACTTATCGAAAGCTATCAAAAATCAACTTGAAAAAAGTCTTGATGTTGATCAGTATTAGGTAATACTAATATAAGTATTGGAAACAGACCCAAATTAGACGATGTAATGACAATTTACCTAAGTAAAAATGATTGTTGTATTATTCCAAATTTTATTCAGAGGGCTGCAAGACAACAGAATTGAAACGCCACACAAACATGTTTTCAAAGATTTGACTGCTTTGAAAAAGCTGTGAGTTTGATCAATATAATGTAATGTGTTTATAAAAAGTATTGACTCTTCATCACTTTTCTGTTCCTTATACCAGACATGGGAAAATAAACCAAGTGCCCATGTCGCAATCAATTGCAACATGGCAATCCTGAGATGATGGTGCATTATAGAAGGCAGAGTTACTGAAAGCTGATAGCGTCGAAATTCGCTGGTCTCGGGTTCTGACCAGTAGTTGTTCCCCGGTAGTCTTGGGTTTCATCGATGGATCACGTTTTCCTCCCATCATGCTCTTTACTTGAGCAAAGAGCATGAAAACTATCTGCAGCAGCATAATGCACTTCCGCCATATAACAGGATTATAGCATACAACAAGTGCCTATGAAACGTAGCGAAAGAATGCTCGTCAGAGTGTCTTCCCATATTGTTTCACTTTTTATGGGAGTTACATTCCGGCTGGAATTATTTTTTTTTTTCTGAAAGGTTAATTCATTTTTCCTTGAAACTTTTAGGGATCTGTCTAATAACGGAGTTGAGGATCTCCCTCAAGAAATCTTCAGCAATCTGACAAGTCTCACAACGCTGTAAGTCAACAACGAAAATATGTAAAAGAAACTAAACAAAACAATTAAAAGCACGTCGATAAAAGCAATCCTCTCTCTGATTTGTCGAGTTGCAAAACTTTCTCCATTTCTGCGTGAATTTTATCACACAAAGTAAATAAAAGTTTTGAACTTGAAATTGAGTCTTCGTTAAATGTTATCATTCCATATTTCCTTCGATTTAATCTAATTAAAGCTGTTCGTTAATACGTGTCTCGCCGAATGAACATAAATACATATCTTTGTATCCTAGAGATGTGTAAGGATATCGCTAATTGGATCTTCCCGGTTGCCATCATGATCTACGAGAACTTTCTGCTTTGCAGTGAAACGTAGTATGTAGTTAATTGTTTTAATCTTGCAGGCTTTTGTCCAACAATCAAATAAGAAATTTACCGCCAACGATATTTGCTAACCTTACCAACATAACGACAATGTGAGTAATGATGGATAGTTTTGATGACCGAATAATTGTTGGGGAGGATTATCCTCTCTTGTTAATTATTAGTTGATTGATCGATCGATTTTTTGGGGAATTAAAAATAATTACATCAAATTTCAGCAAATTTCAAAAGATACCCCATGTAAAGTACGAACAAGTAGTTTTCTGGGGGAATTTTCTGAGAACTGCTTTTGAATTCGATAATTCTTGAGCTATTGAGGTCAAAAACAATATTTATTCAGTTAATTTAATATAATGCCAAAAGAAATTGAAACAAGAAAAAGATTGCTCTCGTTTTACTTTAATCCCTCTATGATCAATCTAAAAACCTGTGGCACCCTATCAACCAATCGAGTACCAAACTAAAACCAAACGCTACTTGATCTCTGGCATTTTCTGGCGCGTAAAGCTTTGTGCTTGAATCGTTTATACTTCTAATGTAGACTGGTTCCATAGTCTCCCTTTGCTTTAATTGGTTATTGTGATTGCTCTGGCTCTTACTTTTGGACATTCATTCGAAAGGCACTCTAACTACCGACCATTGGTATAACATTCAACGTTTAAATGAAAAGAAAACTGGCCAAGAACAGATATATGATTTGCAATTTAACAGAAAAATTGAAGAGAATAAGTTAAAGGAGCTGCATCCTAAACAGTTTCGGGGACTGGTAAAGCTGTCTGACCTGTGAGTAGTTCATGAGCATTTCTCTATTGCACAAGTTTTGAATCTAAGCATCTATCAAAAGTGAAAATATACTATCGTAGTGGTAACATATTTTGGCCTGACTGCTGAATTTGTTTATTACTGCAAGCGGAAAAATGCTTAATCCGATGTACCTTTTCATGTTTTTAAGACATCATTTCATTTCCTGCAATTCCTGATTTTAATTCATGATGAGGGTCTGTGTAGGACCTTTTTCTTGGTGATGGCGATTCTTGTATAGGATGGGCTGGTTTGGACATCACGCAAGGGGTTTTTCAGTACCAGGGTTATTTTGTTATACAACCTGGGACATTTGCAGTTCGTGATACTCCATAAAAGAAATCTCCTGATTCCCAGACTATCAGTTATCTTTCTCCAAAAGTTTCTCGTAATTATATTGCAACATGTTAGTGAGTATTCTCATGATCCCTTAGATTCTTGTGAAAACGATTACTAATGTCCCGTTCTTTAATCCGTTATGTTGAACATTCATCTCATTTTCTTCCTTTCTTCAATAGCTATCTATCGAGAAACAAACTCGGATACTTCCCACAAGGAATTTTTAAAGGCTTAAAGAAACTTTTGATTATGTAAGTAGACTATGAAACTTATTTAGTGAGCAATGTGTTTTTTATACAACATATTGCACATTTCACATTTAAATAATCATTTACACATCGATCTCGAACCATTTTTGCACTTTCTTTTTGTTAGAGAAATTCTGGAAAACGAAATGACTCAGGTCTCTATCGACAACTTCAAAGACATTAAACAGTTGAAAATTCTGTGAGTGTTAAAATTAATCAAGTGATGACAAAGTTGTGAAACGAACCTTGTTACCTTGATGTGTCCAAAAAATTGAAATATAATGAAAACACTCCAAATCGATGCTGTTATTGTAAAAGCTTCTTAACTCATCTGCAACTCACCGGAAAGTGCTTTCCTGTCAGCAGATTGATTATTTGCTTAGTGGGAGTAAGTTTGTAAAGAAACTTTGGTGTTGCGTCGGTGTAGGGTATTTTAAGATATTTGGTGTCATTCTACATTAAAACTTTGATTGGTTAAGAGCATAAAGTCAATATACAAAAGCGTATGAAGTTGACATGATAACCGATATCTGCATCAGGTATTGGGTTATCACGTGGAGTTCAAAGTCTAGTTGCCAAGCCCCTCGTCAGTGTGACGTCCTGAAACTTTTGCAAAGTCAGAGAGAAATGTCTTATTTTGCAGAGTGCTTTAAAAATGTACAATAAAACAGTTATTGATTTCGGTTTTCCCATGATATCATGAACTGTGAAACCTTGTGTCTGCTTTATATGCCTCAGCCTCCGGCTTCGGCGGTTAACTCAGACCTAAGCATTATGATAATATCATGGTCAATCTAATCCAATATTTAATTAATTTCAACTGAGTTGGTTATTTTAATTGGCTAAAATCCTCAAAAGCCGACGTCTGAGTATGAGCCCTTCGTCCAAGAATACAGGAATTGTTGGTTGTAAGTGGTTTATATACAGGAAAAAGACGCTTGGCGATTAGAGGGAACCTGGTCACGAGATAAACACAAATAAACTTGTTAAATGAAAGATTTCGTTGACAATATGGGATTAAAAGAGCCTATTCGAAAGATTAAATTATGTTATGAAGTTTTGCGGCTTTTGATCATGACATTTTTATCTGCTGATTTTTAATTTCCAGGTATATGCAGTACAACAAGATGAGGGAGATTCCATATGGTTTTTTCGATATGTTGAAGGATATACAGCGAGTGTAAGATTTTGATAAAATTCATTCGCAAATTATTAGTTTTTGAGCAAAGCTATATATTCTGAGTAGACAATATCTAAGGGAAATTTAAGTTTTTGCGAAAAGAATTGAAGACTTGGATTCTTAAAAAAATATTTTGTATAAGTCAATGAATAACTCCAGCCATCATTCTTAAAAGCAAGTCCTTGTCGACAAGGTCTGTGAAGTTTTAATGAAAGAACTTCTCCCAGTGGATGATATTTTACAATTGCAGGAGTCTCGACACAAATCTGATGTGTTGTCATATGCACAAGGAGGACGCTGACTGTGCTTTCACATACAACGACGACTTTGCCAACTGTGAGAGCATGTTTAAGAATTCTGCCCCAAGGAAGAGTATCTGGGTGATAGGAGTATTTTCTCTGGTTGGTGCAGTGTTTGTTGTCACTTGGCGAGTGATCTTTAAAGAAAAGAACGTGGTTCAGTCCATCATGTTGCTCCACTTAGCAGTGTCCGATGGTTTGATGGGTATTTACCTGATCTCTCTTGGCACTAAAGATCTGTTGTGGAGAGGAGAGTATTACTTGCATGACTTCCAGTGGAGGTCTGGTTTGTCTTGTCAAATAATTGGAGCGATCTCCCTTCTGTCAAGTGAGGTTTCGGTTATGATGATGACACTGATATCTGCTGATCGGCTTAAAAATATTGTGTTTCCTTACCAAGGTGCTTCTCTGAAACCAAAGGCAACACATATCCTGTGTATCATCATATGGGCAATTGGCTTCCTTATGGCCTTTTTGCCTATGTTTGGTATTCAGTATTTTGAAGACCCATTCAGGTACCATAGTTACTATGGTAGAAGTGTGGTATGTCTGCCCTTGCAGCTTACTTCTGATAAGCCGGCAGGTTGGGAGTATTCTGTTGCTATCTTTCTTGCTTTGAATTTTGCTTTTTTCTTGTTCATCATGGGTGCTTATCTCATGATACTAGTCAAGTCTTACTTGTCTAGCCGGCGACTGGCCCGTCAGGGTACTGAAAGAGAGATCCAGGCCAGAAGAGCAAACTTTAGGAGGGAAACGGCTCTTGCAAGGCGGGTGTTCTTCATCATCCTGAGTGACTGTGTGTGCTGGATGCCGGTGATAGTGATTGGTATGAGGACCATCATCGAGAAGTCGTACAAAGCGCAAGGGGACCTCGCTGTCTGGATCGCTGTATTTGCCCTTCCGATCAACTCGGCCTTGAATCCTATCTTGTACACCTTGTCAACAGAACAGGTGCGTTATGCGCTTTTAATCCATTATAAGTAGTCAAGATAATAAAATCCGTAAGTAGACTTATAATGGCTAGGTACAGGAAGGGTAATGGTTTTCAGCCGACCATAGGCAGTGTATAACACTGCTCAAGACTGCTTTGTTCACTTGCAATGGACACTGACAATGTTTCAAAAGCATTGGAAAACAGAAATTCGTTAGTTTCTATTTTGTCATCGGAGCTCAGCTCAAGGCAGCTAGCGAAATCTCGATCACTTTTGGCTATTTTGTATCCAGGTCAGAGGCATTCTGAAGAACAAAATGGAAAAAGTCTGGAACTACTTGAAGACCGTTTTCACCTGCTGTGGTTGGGATCAGGAAGGTGCGATATAATTATCAGCTCCTGATCAGAAATAAACCGAAAAACGATGTAAACTAACAGATTGCTGCGAATACAGTTTATTGATCTGTTGATTTATTCATTCAGTCACTCAGTCATAAATCAATTCACTCATGCATGCATAGAGACATTCATTTAATCATGTATTTACTCGTTCGCTCCTTCGTTCTTTTATTGGTCTGTTCATTTGTGGTACGAACTAAATATTTCTCGACTCGATCATTGACTTTTCTTCGTCGTTTTCTTTAAAGGCCAAGGAGATGGGGAACAACCGAACCAACAGGGAATAGAAGACGATGGACAAAATGGTGGCGAGGGAGGTAAATCCTAACTCGTATTTCTGGAAATATGGTGAAAACTGTAAATGGGGGAAAAAGGCAATCTGTGACTAAATATATATTCGTTATTTCCTCTTTATTTTAAGGAGAAGGTGGGTGTGAACTAATCGAACTGGTTCATGTTGGTGTGCATCATCCCTTACTAGGTGAGCTGCAGTTTTCTAATCCAATGTAATTCTTGTCTGGAAGAAAAATACCGTGTTGAAGTGTTTATTGCTAATCTGTTTGTTTTGAATGGTATCCCTGGTGATGTTATCGTGTCCTCTGCTACCGGAGGGATCTGTGACTGCTGGTTACTTTCATATACGCAGATAGGGTTTATTATTATCTTTACAATCATTCAACCTTCTTTGTTCATCACGTTAATCTCAAATTCTAGAACCCATTCCCCCGTTCGTTTGTTAGTACTTTCGTTATTTCTATTGTGTGTTTCTTTTTGATTTTTTTTTGTTTTTGTTTTTTTGTTTTTTTCATAAACCTCTTTTCATTTTTTTTTTTTTTTAAAGGCCAAGGAGAGGGAGAGCAAGTGAACCAGCACAGAATGGAGGACAATGAAGAACATGGCGGCGAGGGAGGTAAAAACCTTTTAGGTGTCACTTAACATATCATAAACATTTGAACTGAGAGCACAGGGTTAGTCTATGTACATTTTTTTTCTACTCTCATTTTTCAAGGAGAAATTGAGGGCGAAGAAATTGAACTGGCAAGTGTTGGTATGCATCATCCACAACAGGGTAAGGCTAGAGTTTCTATTTGAATGTCAAGTTTTTAATGCTATTCTGTTAGTTTATATTGTACCTCTGGTGATTGTGTCCTCTGTAACTGAAGGATCTTTGACTTTAGGATATTTTCATACACACAAATAAAGTTTATTATCATCATTTTTATTACCCAACCTTTCTCGTCTATTACGTTTTAATTGTTTAAAATTGTAGATCTCGTTCTGCGTTTGTTACAAAAAATCCCTTCGTTCTATCTCTTATTTGTTTCCTGACTCGTTCACGATTTTTTTCCTTTGGTTTCTTTGAAAAGGCCAAGGAGATGGAGAACAACTGAACCAACAGGGCATGGAAGACATTGAACAACATGGCGGCTTAGGAGGTAAGACATTTTTTCCTTATAGTCAATGACAACACAGTGGCAATGTGACAACAACAGTGACTATATGTTTTATTTACTATTTTTTTCAAGGGGAAGTCAAGGGTGTAGTTATCGAACTTGCTCATGTTGATGTGCGTCATCCACAACAAGGTAGGCTAAAGTTTCTTCTCTGATGTCATCTTTATATAAATAAAAGATCTGTTAGTTTATATTGCCAAGACTCAACAATATGTTGTTTTAATGGTACTTTTTATTTTGTTCTCTACTTCTGGAGGGATCTGGGACAGATGGATATTTTCATTCCCACAAATCAATAAAGTTAATTTACATCATTATAGTTATCCAACCTTCATCGTTCATTACGTTAGTTTTAAATTCTATGGATCTCGTGTTCTAACACAGTTTTGTTAGGTTTAAAAGTTTTGAAACGTTTCTTTGTTTTTTTGTCTCCAGTCATTATCTGAAATAAAGAAAAACAAAATAGACTAACTTGATTCTGAAACAATCACCAATACTAAGATACATAGAAAATAAGGTACAACATTGTTGATTAGTTCGAAACACAAAAGAATGACAGTATTTACCTTTCTTGTTTCAAGGAGGACTTGATGAAGCCGAAAGAATCGAACCGGCACCAACTGGGTATGCTGATTCAAATCAAGGTAACTTGTCTTACCTTTATTAAAAATCTATAGCTTATCAATTGGTCGCTATTCTTTGTTTGTTTGACAACTCATCCAGTGTTACTGTATTAGAAATGGACAAACCTTCTAAGGACTGTTAAGTTCTCCTGCGTATCGATCAGTTCAGAATCTCATTACCTCCCTCAAGCATTGCCAAGCTCTGAATGAAGTAACTTTAAATTTCTCAGCTGGCTTTCCTACCACTACTACTGGTGGTAAAATCAAAGAATTTCAATTATCCTCAAACAGAACTAAGAGATGAAATTTCTTATGCAAATGAGCGAAATTTGGCCGTAATAAATTGAGATTTTGCATAACAGGTTGCGGCCAAAATGAACGGCAATAAGTATGAAAACATCAAGTTAAGTATAGATTCAAGTAATTCTTATTTGCGAGCTTTAAAATTCTTAAGCAATTTTTCAAGTAAACGTCGAACAAAAAATAAAAAAACAAACGAACAAACAAAACAAAAACATTTAAGAAATCCTTAAGTTTGACATCCATCGATTATGTGTCGTATCACAAGTGTTTAATGCCTTGCCAAAGGCAATTTCACGACCACGAAAGCAGCGTATTTCGGGTTTTTTTACCCGTTTTTAATTTGGCTTTGGGTTTGTTTCGAGAAGAGCAATGTTCTGTTGCAAATTTTGATGAGCCTCGACAGAAAAGAGGAAGTCATCAAATATGCCCGATGCCAATTTTTTTTGGCAAAAAAATGTTTTTCCATGTAATAATTACTTCGACTTTATTATTCTATCCTCTTCGTTTCGCCTACGTCTTGGAAAAATTTTTAAATTTTTTGGCTTTTTTAAAAATTTTTTCCTTTATTTGCTGTTTCATCAAATGAAACAATTTTGTTTTGCAAATTTATTAGGAATACCTCAGTAAAAAAAACAGCAACAACAAAAAACCAACAAAACAAAACAAAAGCAGCTGATTGGTTTTATTTCTCCAGTATTACCTCACGGATTAACCTAGAGTTCTCTATTTATTTGTGTCTTTCTTACATTTAGAGTGTCGTTAACCAGTTTCATCAAGTTAAGCAGTTGCTACAGCGCTTTTAGTACCTAATCAAATATGTAATTTTTTTACTTTTTTCTATTAATGTTAGGAAAACGGAACAAGAGTTTGAAAAAAGGGGACGGTAAATTCAGGCATTCCACCGAAAAGAAGTAAGTGGTGAGCAGCGGGATATACACAGGTTCAAATTCCTAGAGAGATAGAAACTGTCCTTATAACAAAGTTGACGGACGTTGTCACTGACGAACTAACCGCTGAATTATTTGAATTACTGGTTTATTTCCAAAGTAGTTAGCTTCTCAACCTACTGGCTAAAAGGTTGAAAGAGTAACTGTCGCTAGCGGACTTACCTCACTGACTAACTGACTCACTAACATCCTTACTCACTGATTAACCAGCTGACGGACTGACTGACTGAATTTCTGACAAAAATGACTGAGCAGCTGATAAACCAACTAACTGACTACTTGACCGACTGACTGAACGAATGCTGATCAATCGCCAGAACAACTGATTGACTGTTTCACTGACTGGCTAACTGTGTGCCCAGCTGAGCGGCCATTCGACAGATTGTTTGATAGTTTGTTTCACTGACTGATTGACTGATTTATTACATGATAGAACGGGAATTTTTAAATAAATAATTGTTTCACAAGATAATAGCGATTGAGCGTTTCTTTTCTTTTTCCTTGTCTCTCTTTTGTTTTGTTTTGGTTTTTTGCAGAAAAAGGCGAAAATCAAGATTTTCAATGCGTCGAAAGTCACCTTCGGCTACCGAGGCTGTCCATGAAGAACACACTTTTGAAGAGGACACAAAACTGTAGGCAGTTTAACTCGAGGAAACTACTATAAATTCTAAGCAATTTAACAAGAAGAAGTGGTAATTAGAGATCGATAATCTCGTAATTGTTTTTTATTAAGCGTATAAGATACTTAAGATAGAAACAACTGCTTTGCTAATTTTGTGTCTATTTAGATGTAAAGGAGGACTTAGTCAGTTATACTGAACCAATTGGTGTGCTTTGCCTAGTTAAATTAAATTTCACTCGATCTTTGGTTGTCTTAAAAAAATCCCCACCAAAACGATTTTTTCAAACGATAAGTTATAAGTTTTCAGACCAAGACAATTTAATTGATGTTTTAATGGTTTATGAGTTAGTGTTTCATATCCATGATTTATATGGTCTCCATGGCCACTTCACATAATCAGTGACATCATCTTAAGGATCGTGTTTACAGTCACAAGAAGTTTCAGCTTTCTCTTAACTAAACAAAAACACCCATGCGGTTGATTGGGATCCTTTAAGACATCTGCTACGAGGAGTCTTTTGGGGGCAGATTAAGTCAGCTTGAGATGGGAAGCACATTGAAGGCAGAATTAACTAATTGAATTGTGTTAATTGACTTAAAACGAGAGGATGTAATACCAAAAATGTTTTTGGGAAGTCGTCATCATATACTAGTTTCTAGAATACCTTTTCACAATGACTTGGAGGTTACGTAACTATGATGCCATTCTACCAGAATTTTAGTGTTTTAGGCTTGCGGAATGTTCTAAAATACGTTTCAAGAATTCAATAATCTAGGAGTAATTATGCTTTTCAAGCTAAAATGAGAGAGAGATACTGTGATGTACATCAAAGATTGTGCACTTAAAAGAGATTGGGTAAAAACGGTGAGTTTGTGTCAGTGGAGAACTAAGGTACAGTCTGGAGTGGTTTGTAGAAGATAATCACTATATTGCCTAAAGGAGTCGCTTTTTAGTAAGCATTTTCACACATTGTTTAGCAACGTAATTCGGTTTGTAGTAGTGTAGGATTCTTTCTGTCTTAGAATATACCGTGACAAGAGATACAAAAGTGGTTTTTAAGAGTTTTGATTTAATGCTTGCTCGTTTTTCCTGCTTGATTATGTGCTTCATTATTAGAACAATACCAAGCTTTTCTTTATATTTGCTGCAGGGTTCAGAAAATGCATGCTTTCTGACTCATTGAATTATCTAACAAGTTGACCCTTGTAAAAAACAAAAATAGTAACCTATGTGCTTGTATAGGATATGAAAACTTAAGTGAGTGAAGTTTTAGTATCAAATTGATAAATTGGCATAGGATATACATAGAGGTTGATTGAAAAAAATTTTTGTTAGTAATTTGATAATAATATAAATGCTGTATTCAATTGGATTATTACTGTCATTAATATAATAAAAATAAAAATAACGAGAGGGATCAATAACACCTTGGCTATTTGAAGTTGTGTTTATTTTATGTACTTGGATATTTTGCAAATGAAGCGAGTGCATCCGATGTCTCACATCAACTACAGCGACCAAAACAATCATGCAAATGGTCAGGCTCATCATATTCATAAAAATAAATGGAATCATATACATAAAAATAAAATAAAAGGGAAATGAAATTCATATTTTTTTGATTTGTTTGTTTTTTTTTTGGTCGAAGAGATCTTTTAAAAAAAAGAAAGAAACATAGAAAGAAAAAACCTAACAAACAAAGACGCTTTCCAAAACAACTAACTTTCTATCTCCCTTTTCCCGTGCTCACCCTGAATAGATTAAATAATAATTAATAATTAAAATTTAATAATTAAATAATAGATTAAAATGCTCCTTCTCTCTCACTCTCTTATAAGCCGATTCCCTCCCCTTTCTCTTAAAAACTCAGGTAGTAAGTTTTTCAATCAGAAAAAATGTTTACTGGTGCGGTATCTTTCAAAGCAGGACATTCTTATTGAATTTTTTAAAACCCTCTTCTTCGTTTTTTTTTTTTTTTTTCGCGAGGAGAGGGAATTTTTAGAAACCCAGCATGTGTTTCGCAAAAGTCTAGACACGCTATTTTACTTTCTCATTTTCTATATAAGCGTCACCTTTTCACTACTTCAATGTTACCTGCTGTTAATAAAACTGTCTATAATTTCTTGCAACATTGTTTAAGGGAAAGAAGCCGAGAGGACTTTCAAGTAACTTTTGATGGATGAACTTCAAGATCTCTGTTTATTATGTTGGGTGGGGTGTTGTGATCTAGTTAACTACCTAATAAGGAGAGTCGGGGTTAGGGTTGTTGAAGGCCTAAATGTAATAACTGTCCTAAATGTAATAAAGTCCTAAATGTAATAACATTTAGTCCTATATGTAATAAGCTTCCAATGCAATCATTTAACTCCTTCGGTGCATTGTTGTTATGGCGGACATCCACATTGGGATGTTAAAGTGACAGCTGTTGCACCAAAAAACCGCTGACCAGTATACATGTCACATTACGGGCTCCCTGATATCAATCAGCGTCTTTTTACTTGCTAGACATAAGAAATATCAGCAGTCGAAGTATGGTCCTTAAAGCGGTTTATTGATCGAGTTGAAAATCATTTCCAGCCCAAAGTGGGCTAGTGCTTGGCTGGAAACTCATAGGATGGAATCGATTGGTACGTAATCATTAAGAAAAAGAAAAAAAAAGAGAAAAAGAAAAAGAAATTGACTACAATTGATGATGAACTAGCATGCTATTGTTGATGTTATCGTTCGTCACATGTTAATCCAAAAGAAAATTATTATTATCAGAAGTGTTCCTGAAATTTTGCATATCAATGATATTCAGTGTCAACTGATTTTAATGAAGCATTTGAGTTCATTTTTTAGGATGACTATCCTGATTTATTCAATTTTGCACCTGGGATATTGCATTTCTAGCCCCCTATAGATTTACTCCACCTCAGTAATCAGTTCATGTACCATATGACTATAAGTGGAAACTGTTGAGCTTTCTTTTTTTCATTCATTTATTTATCTATTCATTTTCTCCCCTCACGGTGGGCAGAGGAGATGAAGACAAAAGATGAAATATAAACATTAGATCAACTGTAAAATATATGTTTTCCCAATATTTCGGTTCGGGAACTGATGAACCTGTCATAAGGGGCTAAAGGAAAACAAAGAAGGTTCATTAGACCATCAACTGACCATCGTGTTGAATTTTGTCGCTCAATGGTTCAATTTGACTCTTGCGTGGAAAAAAGGCAACATGTCGGGACCTGTGATCGTGGATAACATATGATTGGTCAGTAGATATCTTGCTCTGTAAGACACTTTATCATATAGCTAGCAGCGCACGC